GGCCCCGGGCACCCCGGGCAACCTCCCTGCTGGCTCTCCTTTCCCCTGCCCCCTTCCACAAGCAAACCCTGAAACCAGGTCCCTCTCCGGGACAGAGCATCTGGCACACAGTGAGGCACGTCAGCTTGCAGCATCGCTTCCCAGAAGGCCCTGCATTTTAAGAGACTTCCCCCCCGAAAGTCTGAAGCCTAACGGCGGGGCTTCTGGCAGCGGCAGAGCCTGTCCCAGCACCCCTAATGCAGAACCAGGCAAGACAGGGGCGGAGGAGGGGGAGCCTGTCTCAGGCACCGAATGCATCTGCTCTCTGCTGGGTGGATGCCTGAAACCCTTCACTAGGGGGTCCAGTCCTTTTCTGGCCAAACCAGTGGTAGATAAGCCCAGAGCAGTGCCGGGATCTGGGCTCTCACCTCATGGCGAGTGGGGTTGATGCCAGAGCCTTCTCTGGCAGCCATGTGTGTGTGTGTGTGGGGGGGGGGTGGGGGGGAGGGGAGTGAGAAAGAGGGAAGCAGAGGGGCCAGGGAAGGGAGAGGACACGGCCTGGGGCACAAACCATCAAATCGCCCAGTTACCCAGCACTCAGCCCGCGGGAGCCTGACCCTGCTGATCCCTACTCGCCACCGCGGGCTCAGGGCCTGGCACTCCACGGTTGCTGGAGCCGGCTCATCACGCCCCTTTGCACACCCACTCTGCAGGCTGCACACTCACAGAACCGGTCTCAAGCACCTGCTGTGTGCCCGACACCTCTGAGCGTCACAACCACCTGACACAGTTCATCCCATTCGGCAGGCGGAGAAACGGAGTCTCTAGGAGGCCAAGCGACCTGCCCCAGACCAGCCAGCCAGGGCGCAGCAGGGGCGGGACTCAGACCCCATCTCTGCCTCCAAAAGCCAGGAGTTAGCAGCCACACGCACTGCCAGGAGTCAACCATGGCCACGCGCCATTTCTCCTCTGCCCTTCCCGAGGCCGATCACCGACATCCAGGCTCCTCCGGCAGGCCCTCCTGCCAGCGGGACCCCAGGCCGGCCGCACCCTCTGCTCAGGGCCATCGGGGAGGACGGGAGGACGGGGAGGTGGTGTGAGCACAGATGTGGCGCTACTGGCAGAGCATCAGGGATCACCGCGTCCCTGAGACAGTCTGTGTGAGGGTGGCTGTCCATTATCCTTCAGCAGCAGCAAATATCAAAACCCAGGGCTGGCTCCTGGCTGGGCCGTGGTCCCCAGATGCCCATCTTGGCCGGGGGTGCAGCGGGTCCAGGCCCAGCCCTGCTTATCAGCCCAGCTTTATCTGGCCCGGGAGCTGCTGGTAAATCAGCCAGGGGCTTGGCTCTGGTCTTGTCAACACCAGGAGGCAGCCGGCCGCGTGCCAGGAGGCCCAGGGATATTTCATTAAGTCAGACCCTGGTGTTGGAAATAAAACCCCCAATTAAACACTTCCCCTCCCGGAAACTGCAGCAGCGTCTGTAATCAAGCTCACAGCCGCCCTTCCACGTGGCTGCGGCACGCGGGGCAGCGGAGAGCCGCTCATGAATCCATTAGCTCTGCTCTGGCAACGGCAGTGCCAGCAGGACGCCTGGCCCCTCTCACAGACCACAGGCCCAGCTGGGGCCCCCGAGGGGGGTCACAGGCCCTCCCCAAAGTGCTGACACACAGGTCCGAGGCGGAGCTCGGGCCGCAGGCATCCGCGTGGGGTGAGGTGAGGGTGGAGCACCAATCACGGCCTAGGAAGAGGAGGGCAGGTTCTGAACCGCACAGACTCAAGTTCAGATCCCGGTTCCGCCTCCACCGGCCACGGGACCGGGAACAGACCTCCTGGGTCTCAGTTTCCTCATTTGTCAACAGGACCATAATGACTGCCCTGCCCGGGTCTGCGGGCTGACGATTAGGAGATGAAGCGTGTGAAGGGCCTAGTGCACAGGAAGCCTTCAACACATGGTCCCCGTGGGACCCTGCTGCTGCGCCCCCCCCCCCACTTTCTCCAAAGAGCACCCCTTCACTGAGGCTGGGGCTGGGGCTCAGGACACCTCCTCAGCCAGAACTCCTCCAAAGCCAAGTTCGTTCCCGTCTCCCCTTGGCAACCCGGGCCCGCCACGGGAGCTCTCACGCTACTACTCAAGGGAGGCACCTGTCAGAGTTTCCGGACCTGTGAGTGATAGGCCACTTTAAACGCGTTTTATGTCTCCCGTGTAATTAGAACTGAGATAACAAGCAGGTAGAGATCGGGAGGGGCTACAGCTAACGAGACCAGAATGATGGGTGATAAGCAGACCGCTGTGTGCGGGTGAGCGGCCCTCCTTCCCCTTCTTCCTCTGCCTGTTCGTCCAGGCCCGATATCACCTCTCTCTGGAAGCCACATGTGGGCAGGAGAGGTGGCTCTGACCTCCCTCAGCACACTTCCCGGCTGCTGAGCTGCCCTCTTCAGCCCCGTGGTGAGGGGTCACCCCTACTGCCCGGTGCACACACTCACACACTCACACACCCCTCAGCGGGACTCTCGCTGGCCGCCCCAGCTCCTGACACAGACCTAACTGTTTTGAATGTAGTTCTTTCTCTGATCATTCATTCTTCGGCCTGCTCTGCCCCCCGGAGGCTGACCCCTGCCGACAGCATCACCTGGGCTCTCTGACCTCCACTGGGTTTGACCAGGGGACGTGTCGGCAGAAGGTAGGAGGGCGGGAGGGGGAGAGGCTGGGGGGATTCCCCCTGGCTCCCTTCCTGCCTTGATTTGGAGGGTCAGGCAGTGGCTTCAGGCTGGCCTCTCTGTCACCACGACCTCCGGCTGTCATGGGGGCCCCAGAGCCCCGTTCCTGCCCCACTCGGGTCCAGGGGTGCTAAGCTTCCCTCAGCTGTAGTCCGTGGTGCTTTATGTACCTGCCGGCCCCAGCTCTGCCCAGCCTCTGTAAGTGACCCACCACTTAACTCTTCCACATCCCGGCTGAGCGTGTGTTCTGCCCGGATCCCGCCTCAGACAACCCTTCCTTCTGCCCACCCCAACCCGTACTCACTGGCCACTCCCTTGATCAGCCCAAGAAAGATCCCAAACTGCCCCCTTCCTGCTCCCACATCCCTTTGTGGGGGTGAGGGAAGCCCCCGGTGCCAGCCCCTGCCCAGGGGGCGGCCAGGACAGGCCAGAGGCAGCAATTCTGCTGCGGAAGCCGGGTGGGTGTCTCTTCGGATCCCTACCTCAGGGAGAGGGGCAGGGGAGGCAGCGTGGGTGAGTCTGAGTGTCAAAAAGGGGCATGAATTAGCACGGGAGTCAGGGAGGGGCGGGGGCTGGCAGGGGCCGGGGCTGTGCCGTTATCTTCGTGTAGAAAGCAATAAAACTGTGTTCGCTCATAAACGGGCACCACCAGGACCTATTTCCTGCTCAAATAAAATTAAAGGTGATGGATGGAGCCAGCGGCAGCGGGGGAGCGGGGGGCGGCTTGTGCTGAGTGATGGGCCCTGTCCGGCGCCTGGCTCCGGGGGGTCTAGGGCGCAGCCCAGGCTGGCCTGTACGCAGCCTCCCAAACCTCTGGGAGGCAGGGGACGCGGAGGTATTCCGGGAGGTGGGGGAGGTAAATAGGGTGAGAAAAAAACTAACAGCAGCCATTTTTCAAGAACCTGCAATCCTCCCAACACCCCCATCACCTGGCTCCATCCCATGTCCCAGGTGAGCCAGCTGAGGCACAGGGAGGTCTGAGGATTCCCCCAGCTCACACAGCCGCTCAGACAGCAGCCAGCACAACCACTGGATTGTAAGACTCGGCTTTCCCATCTCTGGAAAGAGGGCAGGCAGTTCACTGCTCTCCCTCAAGCTGTGCCCAGCCAGCAGACGCCCCAGCCACTCACCTGTCTCCATGCCCAGAAATACACATGTGCATACACACATGTGTGCATACACACACACACACACACACACACACACACACATGCTCATGCTCACACACTCAGGGAAGTCTGGGATAGCAATTAAGCCAGACTCCTGACTGAGTCCCGGGTCTTCTATTTACAAGCTGTGTGAGCTTGGGAAAGTCACTCAGCATCTCTGTGCCTCGGTTTGTGTCTCTGTAAAATGGGAAGACAATCAGAGTACTGGCCTCATAGAGTTGTTGTGAGGATGACATGAGTGTAGGTATGTAAAGTGCTGACAACAGGCCACAAGGTGCTATGTGAAGGGCCCTGTTGTAGCCAGGCTCACCCTGTGCACCTCAGGGGGGTGGTGTCCCGGGGGTGGAGAAGGGGAGCAGCTGTAGGACTCCTGCTGCGGCTTCATATGACCTCAGTCCTGAGTGCTGAGGCGAGGCTCATGCCTGGCCCTGCCAGGTGAGCTGATGTTCAGCTAAAGGGCGCCTCCTCCAGGAAGGCTGCTGGCAGGGCCTCATTTTCACACTTGCTTCTGGGCTGGTTTCCGCTCGGTCTCAGGTCCCCTCGGGCACAGTGGTTACTAGTAAGATCACAGGCTGGGTTCAAATCCTGGCTCTGCCATTTACCACATCATTTGGAGCAAGCAGCTTAAACTTTCTGGGGCCCCAGTTTCCTCATCTTTACAAGCATAAGCAGGGGGTAGTAGTAAAGATTAAATGAACACCCTGCTTTCAGGCAATACTTGGCACATAGTAGGTACTCAATAAATATCAGCCCTGACTATAATCATTGTTATGAGAGAGTGTCTTTTCTCCTCTGATTGGGACTGAGCTCCTGGAGGCAGGGTGCGTGTCTTCGTTAACCTCCCTGACACCTGAGATAGATGGGTAGTGTGGGGGTGCATTAACTACCCCTCCAGTCAGAGACCCCCATGCAGCCTCTGTAGGTCTCTGTACTCCAGTGACCCCTCACTTATCTGGTCACACCTTTCCCCGTGCAGGGCGTCCCCTGCAGGCAGGAGTGAGCTGGAAGGCCTTAGGGACAGCTCCCCAATGTCCTCACCACTACTCCCACTGGGTCCATCTGACCCGCGAAGCCCTGAAGAGTTAGGAGGTGGCTACATGCCACCACCAGGTACAGGGCACCTACCAACACCCAGCACATATACTAGTGCATGCATACATACATGCATGCATACATACATGCATGCATACATACATCAGAGCAATGGCACCTCTAGGTAAGGTGCCTCTATGAAACCCCAGCACTGTTCCCACCTGGCTCCTTTCCTAACTCCTGGATGAGGGGCCCACGTTTCTCCTTAAGTCAGACCCCACACTTCCCCCACCCCACCTGCCAGCACAGCCTCAGGCCCAGTTACGCCCAATGTCCCTCACTTCCCCTCACCGCAAGGAAAAGCAGGCAGGATACCCAGAAGGAGGTCTAAAGACCTTCTGGGGTGAGGAAGGCTGTGTCCCAGTGGAGAGGAAGCAGCGTGCACCCCACCCCAACTGCACCCCAGTCTCCTGGACGCCGGAGGGTGGTCCACACCAGGGGAGGGGACTCACCGCTGTTGGCCCAGGGCAGGTACCAGGGGCAGCTGACATTCACGAAGGAGCCGGGTGGCCCGTCTGGCCAGCAGGCATAGTCATCAAAGGTCCGGTTGCAGAACAGGTCTGGGTGCAGAGAGAACAGTCCTGAGTCCCGACCTGTCCAAGGCACTTCCCCACCACGGGGCTGGTGGGGGCAGGACCCTGCGCTCTGCGAACCTCCACTGAGCACCTACTGTTTGCCAGGCAAGCAGACTTGGCCACTTAGCAGTGGCACTTGGAGCAAGTTGCTTAATGTCTGTCTTCCCTCACCTGTAAGATGGGGGTAATCCCGGTTCCACGGGGCTTTGTGGGGACACATAGTGCATGGCATGGAGATTACGGAGCATAGTAAGTGCTCAATAAACAGTCTCCAGAGGACTGTTCTTATGCATTCGAGGGGGGAATAGTAGCTCGCATGGCTGTTCTCACCATCCTAAGGTTGCTGCGTTGTGATTGCAGGGTCAGGATTTGAACCCAGGCCTATGGGTCTCCTAACCCCACTCCCCCTCAAACATTCGTTGTTATAAATATGCTGGTGGGCCTACCGTCCCTGCACAGGCTGGGAAGTGCTGAGGACACAGAATGGAAAGGCCTGAGGGGCCCAAGCCGGGGACAAGGGGCATAGACATCAACAAGACAACACCCCAAAGCCCAGGGCAGATATGGCGGCCCAGAGGCGAAGGATGCCCGCCCGAGGCACGGGGGGTTGGGGGGCCCCACCTGGACTCACCTGTGGCTGGGGATGGAGCCTCCCTCAGGAAGCGCTGGCACTGGTGGCGATATTCGCGCCATTTCTGCACTGTCTCCGAGAGGGACACGGTGGCACCCTGGGGGGAGGGCAGAAATGGGGGCCCTCTGGTTCAAGCCAACTTCTCTTCTAACCCTGCCCCCAACACACCTGGTTTCTGGATGTCCAGGGGATCTAGAGCCCCGAACTCCACCAGGTGCTGGCGGTCTAAGAAGGGGAGGGAACCAGTGGCGCTTCAGAGGGACGTTTTTATGTCTCTTCCCTCCCAGGGACTGGTGCCCAGTCTGATGTGTGGCAGTGCCCAGCAAGTGTCTCCTGATTTGATGCTTTGGGGGAGGAGAGGGGGGAATGGAGGGGAGGATGGGTGTCAATCATGGTCTCCTCTGACCTCACCGAGGAGGAAGTCCCTGGGAACCCCATGCTTTGTGACTGCCAAGGGCTCCGCTCCCAGTGCCCAGTCAGCCTGCCAACAGGATTCTCAAACTTTCAACCATTCTAGAAGGGAAATACAGGCCCAGAGTGGGAGAGGGACGCAGTCAGGGTCACACAGCACCCTAAGGGGCAGAGCTGAGGCCAGCTGGAGTCCTGGGGGCCACGGGTGTGGTGGGGCTCACTGTGGTGGGGCTCACTGCTGGTAACTCCATCCCTCCTGCACAAAGCAATCCTGTGGGGGAGGCAACACCACTCCCCAGTGTCCCCCTTTAACATAACAACACAGGTCAAATATGCAGCTCAGCTTCAGTCAGCTGGAGAGGGGGAGTCCTGGGGACCTGGTGGGAAGGGGTCAGGAAAGTTCCAGAACATGGAGCTCAGGCCTGTGATGGGAGGGGTCCCCCATCTGTGACTAGGGGAACATGAGTTTCAATTTTCAGATAAGGTAACAGAACTGGCCTTTTAGCATGGGGACCCCAATGGACCCACCCAAGTGAGAATGGTCCCTTCCAAACATTTTTATGTACTTCCTTTAGGTTTGTCTTGGAACTCTGTTTCTTTCCTTTCCTTTTCTTTCCTCTTCCTTTCTTTTTTTTCCCCCTGAACCAGGCTCAAGATTATAAATATTCCTCATGTAGAGGCTGCAGATGCTGAAATGACCAGGGAGCCCCCACATGTAAAATTTTAGGATCCTATATATAATTTAAAACCAAAATTTTCACTTTTTTGAAATCACAAAAATAGACACGGTGTGCTGAAAATCAAAATTAGTTTGCTTTGGAAGCTCACAGCCTTTCCGGGTCTGGTTTCCCCGCCCCGGGGGGAGTGAGTTCCTGGCTTATAAGACACAGCTTGGCCCGTAAAAGACACAGGGGTCCATGTGCTGGTCCCCCAGGGAGGGGACCAGGCCTGCTTGAGCCCCAGCCACATTCCTGGAGTAAGCGTGCTGAGGCCACATGGGCCACCTGGAGGATGGAGCTCCTCTGAGGGCAAAGTTCAAGTGTATTTGTTAAATAAATAAATAACATGATTCCTTAATCAACCTCAACAGCAGCAAAGGCAGCGGCAGGATTTTAGCTACAAGTGAGGCCTGGTGGACCCACCCCACCCTCCAAATCCCTTTCCTGCGGCTCCGGCCCTGCCTGCAGCGGCTACTGGGGCAGATGGGGCAGATGGGGCAGGTGGGGCAGGTGGGGCTGCTGGGGCAGGTGGGGCAGGTGGGGCAGGTGGGGCAGGTGGGGCAGGTGGCCCTGGTGGCAGGAGGGCAGAGGCTGGGAGAGTTCCCCGGACCTCTACTTCTGGGAGGAGAGCAGGCAGGAAGCAAGGTCACTGCTGGGAACTGGGGCAGAAGGTATGTCTGGTCCAAGACTGGGGACAAGGCAGCTGTGGAGACAGAGGTCTCAGGGTG